AACAAACCAGTGGGTCCCGTAGTAGCGATAGAGTGTGACCCAGAGCCTTATGAAGAGAAGAGTTCCTAAGAATAGCCTTCTGTTCAATTTACTTACCTCTCTGTCTACTCTAGATCTGTGGCTTGCTTAATTAAAATTTAGGAAGGAGCTTCTTCGGCTTTGAAGCACTCAGGCCTTTTAAGGTTGTGGACTTGTTTGTGACAGCTCCTCAAAATGAACGTGCCTGTGTGCATGAAGAGCAGTCTGGTATAAAGGTCAAGAGGTTGAGTTTTCAGTCCAGAGTAAATGGACTGGGATCCTGGCCCCGCCACTTGCCCCAGGTTCTGTGACGTGGGGCAAGTACTTAAATGAGTCGTGCTTCGGTATTCTCGACTGTAAAATGGGAATAAAAGTAGGAGTTTTGGAAGGATTTAGTTAATACGTGCCAACAACTACTTAGGTGCCTTGCGTATAGTAAATGCTCAATAAATATTAGCCATTATCATTAGTATAGCAACGGTAATAATATTTATAAATAACAGTAATTGTAATGTCTCTAAAAGTTAAATCACCCCATTTATCCCTACCACCTTCCCTATTCCTTGTAAACATAGGCACAGTTTATAAAGTTAAAATCCTTTTTCTAAAGTAGTGCTGCCCAGTAGAACTTTCTGTAATGACAGAAATGTTCTGTATCTGGACTTTCTAATTTGATAGCCACTAGCAACGTGTGGCTAATGGTGACTGTGTCGGACAGTGCAGGTCTAACATGCGTGGAGTGTTCTCACTGGTTTGATTATGTATATTAAGTTATATGTATATAAAAATCTTTTATATTTATATATAAATTTATATAAATTCTGTTTTATATAAATATATAAAATTCTGTTTTACCAACACTCTTTTTAATTCTTTAAATAGTTTTCCCCCTTAAGAGGTATGTTTTTCTTTTCCTGAGATTTTATTTATTTATTTTTATAGTGGGAGAGGGAGGGAGAAAGGGAGAAAGAGGAGAGAAACATCCCTGTGTTACTGCCTCTTGAGCACCCCTTACTGGGGACCTGGCCTGCAATCCAGGCATGTGCCCTGACTGGGAATCGAACCAGCAACCCTTTGGTTCACAGGCCGGCACTCATACACTGAGTCATACCAGCCAGGGCAAGGTATGTATTTTTACACTACATTTGTAATCTCTTTGAACCCAGAATTGGTAAACATTGACTTTCTTTTGTTAACGATTGTTTGTTTCCAAATCACTTTTGATTGTATTTGATTTACCTTCCTGGGACTTTGAATAACCTTCCTTTCATATCATCTACTTTCAGTTACCGTTTTATTTCTATTATACTTTCTTGAGCCAAATAAGTTATGCCAGGAATACTCCCACTGAATACTAGTCGTTAAATATGTTCACTGGTTTGGTTCTGTTCTCATAAACCGTTCCATGTGGATGGCAGTACTGTCAGATGTCTATGGCTAATTGACCTTGTATTAACTTCATATGAATTTGCTTTAGTAACAATAACAGGCACTGTTCTAAAAGCATTGCACGATTTAATTTATTTAATCTTTACAACCACTGTATGAGGCAGATGCTGTCATCACTCCATTTTTTAAATACAGAAGCTAGTTCAGAAAGAAGTCTGTTAACTGGCCTGAATTTCACAGCTAGCTCCGTGGCAGGATTAGGATCTGACCCCAGGCTGGCTGGCTTCAGACCTGTGTTCTTAACCACAGTTTCTTATGTTAAACTTTTGGTGCTAATTGTGTTTTGAAATTCAGAATTTTTCAGGTTTTAAAATGGGAATATGATGTATATGCCTTTATAATACCTCCAGTGCAGTCTGGAGCAGCACCCTATAATCAAACTTACTAATATTTCTGCAGCAACACATAATGAATACTCATATTGAGCAGATTAAATAACGACAATCCATAGCCTCATCATTTCAGGTCAAATTTTGTTGCCAAATGAATTTTGAAAAAAATGATTTTCAGAACCCTGAGGATTTTGGAATTTTGAATAAGTGATTGTGAATTTACTGTATATAGCCTCTCACAGAGACCTTCACCAAATGGAGTGAGTTAAGGGAAGATGTAGGAAAAGAGAGTTGCATTGAATTCATAGTTCTCATTTTAAACAACTGAAATAGCTTTGTTTTGCTCAAATCACAATGAGCAAGTATCACTTTTTGCAAAGTTTAGTCAATACAGAAAGACTTTTATAAAGAAGAAAGTGAAAATTATCTGTAATCTTACCAATCAGAGAGATCAACTATTGACCTCCTAGGCTTTCTTTTTTTATTTTATTATTTTACTCTCTTTTATTTTTATTTTTACTTTATTTTTTCCTCTGCCATTTATCTCCCTTATATCCCCTCGCCCACACAGTCACCACACTGTTGCCCATGTCCATGAGTTCTTTTTCCTTTTTGCTCTATCCCTCTCCCCGTAGCTGTCAGCCTGCTCTCTGTGAGTCTCTCTCGCGCGTTAGTTCAGTTTGTTCATTAGATTCCACATATGAGTGAAATCATATGGTATTTGTCTTTCTCTGACTGGTTTATTTCACTTAGTGTAAAGTTTTCCAGGTCCATCCATGCTGTCGTAAAGGGTGAAATTTTCTTTTTTATGGCTGAGTAGTATGCCATTGTGTATGTGTGCCATAGTTCTATCCACTCATCTACTACTGATGGGCACTTAGGTGACCTTCTAGACTTTCTTTATGTGTAGTGAACACATGTAGGAGAATAGGTTATTTTAAGTGGGCTCAATTTACCTAGATTCAGATTCCTTCTCTGACACTAATTAGATATGTGGCCTTGGAGAAATTAACCAATCTGTGCCTCAGTTTCTTTATATGATCAGTGAAGAGTACAATGGTGCCTACCTCTTAGGGTTTTTGTAAGGATTAAATGAATTAATTTTGTGTACAACACTAAGGAACAGTGCTGAGAGCATAGTGCCCACCAACTGTTAGCTGTTATTATTCCATATTTTGTCACTTGCTACTTTCAATTTTCACTTAATAGAGCATGGGAGTTATTCTAAGACAAATAGACACATAATTTTTAATTGCCACATAGTATTTTATATGGACATTCCTTGATCTATTTAAACACTGCAAATGAGCATCCTTGTAGCTAATTCTTTTTTTATTTGCCCAGCTATCTGATTAGATTAATTTCTAGAAGTAAAATTGCTCATTTAAAGCATATGCACTTAAAATTTTTTGATATAAATTGCCCAATGTACAGTAAAACTTTTTTGTTGTTTCCATGTTTTTGCTATTTTATGGACCCTTGGTCTGCTGCTTCAATTTATACACTTGATTTTAAAAGCCAGGATTTCCAGTATCTCAAATCCAAATCTGAATTTCAGCTTGGAAGGTTTTTAAGTTACTACTCTGGTGAAGTCTTACATATATTATTTGCTTTTTCCAACTTTTTCACAGTACTTATGAGTTCCAAGGTAAGGACAAGAACTTGAAGCTTTATTTGCTATATCACAAATTAAATAATCTTTGGGTAGACCAGCATTTTAACTAGACTATTATGTTTATTTAGGATTTCTAGTTGGGCCTAGGGGGCTTCCTCCTAGGAAGGCAAAAGTTTTTAAATAGTAATCATGAGGTTCAACAGATCTTGAATAACCCCTAGTCATAATTCCTGTGGGATATGAGGGCAGCAAGAACTGATTGGCCCAAAAACTGTTCCTAGAGAAGATTGATTTCTGTAGTGAGTTTCCTGTTGGTTTGATGTCTGTTCTATTAAGAAACAATGCAAAATAGCTGATGCCACAAAATGTTTTTAGATGCTTACTCCATATTCTGAAGACTGGTACCTTCTCAGTAAATCATGTGATGTTATTCATAAGTTGTATCCTAGGGAAAAAGTCATCTGCTTTTACCTTTTCAACCTCAAGACCTTGTGATCGGTATCATTAAAGCAGCCTGAGTAGGGCTTTCCAACCCATGTTCCCATAACCCCAGGCCAAGCTGTCCACCTAAATTTGAACACCTCAACTGCTATCAGGTTAACATACTGTACTATTGCAGTTCCTTCTGCTTAAGATTTCCTTTGAAAAATGGATCCTTTACTTTTAATAATAGCAACAATAAATTCTTTTTAATATTCCAGTATGGACTGACCCTGGATATTGGTCCTGAGCAATCTAAAGTTGGCATGTAGAGTAAGGGAATGAAATAAATATAGCAATTGTTGTTTCAAAAACAAAAAAAAAATTATGCTCCTTTGGGACATTTGTTATTCCTAAAGTTTTCCAGCATAAGCCAAATTTCTGTTGTTTCAAAATTTGGTCAAGATAGCTAGCTCAGAGGTCCAGCCTAGAGGGCTTTAGTAGTGAGTCTTGGTATAAGACGGGCAGTTTCATTGGAGTGCCTTCATGTTGAGCCTTGGAAGTCTGCTCCCATGGGTGCTAGTGAGGCCGTGGCTAAGGGCCTAGAGGTCACTATATTAACATTTTATTCATAGGACAAATGAGAACTGCATTCTGCCTCCTTTTTTTACCTGTGTTTGGTAGCAGCAGTTATTTTTAAGTGGCATCCAGGTTTATAGGCTCTATATATATGCCTCCCTGGGCCCCTTACATTCTTTCCTTTGTACTCTCTATTAAGTTTATTAAAGGGATGGGCAAGAGAGTCAGCATGTATGGAGCACCTGCTATGTACCAGGCACTGTGCTAGGTGCTTTAAATGTATTAATACCCAAAACAGCCTAATGAGCTAGGTACTCTCATCCCTCATTTCAGGTGAGCAAAGCTAAGGCTGAAGAGGCTAAGTAACTTTCCTTTAACTCAGGTTTCTCTATTATGAAAGATGTATAAATTGGTGACGGTTTTCTTTCACACCTACAAACCCAGTGTAGTCTCCCCCTTTCTCTTATGCTTTGTAGTATTGGTTCCTATTTTGTCACTCCTCCATGGAAAGGTGATCTATAGACAGCCTACCTGTGGCTTGTCATAAGCCCCTGAATCCTAACGATGCTGTTGTTGACTTCTCCCAGGGTCCTATCCTTCCCCCAAAGCTGGAGCAACTCTAGTCGTGTACAAGGACCTGTTGGTGCTGTTTGGTGGCTGGACACGGCCAAGCCCTTATCCCCTACACCAACCAGAGAGATTCTTTGATGAAATACACACTTACTCACCCTCTAAAAACTGGTAAGCCACAAAGATAAGATCTTTTCAATCTGGAGTAAAATAATTTAAATGAGTGGATTTCCTTGTCTTTTTTTGTGTTCAGAAATCTCCTTGAGAATTTGATGAAAGCTATGGACTCTTTTCCCAGAAAAAAAAAATTTACACATGCACAGATTTTTGCCTACAGTTTCAGACGGTTTCCAGGGCCTCCTTAAAACCTAAATTTAAGCCCTGGCTGGTGTGGCTCAGTGGATTGATTGAGTGCCAGCCTATGAACCAAAGGGTGGCCTGTTCCATTCCCAGTCAGGGCACATGACTGGGTTGTGGGCCAGGTCCCCAGTAGGGGGTGTGTGAGAGGCAGCCATGCACTGATGTTTCTCTCCCTCTCTCCTTCCCTTCCCCTCTCTCTAAAAATAAATACATAGAATCTTTAACATACACAAACACACACACACCCCCACACTCACACCCCCCCATTTCACCCCCCTAAAGTTAAGAACTCTTATTCCAAAAAAAAAAAAAAAGTGGGAGAGATTCATTCCTCTTCCAAGAAAAATGAATGAGCCAGTAGAAGAACAGAGAGGCTACTAATTCCCCAGGAGTGCTGTGGATCCAGATGATTCTTGACTTCTCGGCTTCCTCCTGTCTTTGTATTAGGTGGAACTGCATTGTGACGACCCATGGGCCGCCTCCCATGGCCGGCCATTCCTCCTGTGTGATAGATGATAAAATGATTGTCTTTGGTGGCTCCTTAGGATCTCGGCAAATGTAAGTATATTTGGTTTGCTCTCTGTCAACCTGAAGGTAAGTACTCCTGGGACTAACAAGTAGAAAAGTGAACTAGTCAGGATCAGTATTCCTGAACATGGTTCTGATTAATCCAATTAGTTGTCTCACCCTAACATTCCAATTTTTGATTCCCTAGTCACATACCAGTAAAGTTGGAAAACTTGCTCCATAGAATCAGGGCTGTATAGTCTCTTTTGGTTTGGTATGTGGTTCTTTTCAGTGGGATCAAATTCTGATGGAACATCCACTGTGTCTGCTTCTACCTCTGCCTACAGAAGGCCACCTTCCAAGATAACTACTTTTTCTTGCTCTCCTCTATGACCCAGTTTGTGCCCTTTGGGGCTTTAGAGAAGGAGAGGAGAGCGGTAGATTAACAGTACAGGTGGAAATGATTCACTCTCCAAATGGAATGGGCTGGGGGAGTGGGTAGGAGCAAGAAAACTGTGTCAGGTTTGGCAGATTTCTGTTAGGCTGTTCTCCATACCCACTGTCCTCTGCACCTCTGGCCACAGCTGGCCAGCTCAGGCCAAGAGTCAAGAGCCAGAGTGCTCCTTGTGAATCACTGTTTATCTGATTTGGCAGTGTGAGCTCTCCTCCAGGTGAGGGGGTTAAGGGATTAAGGTATTGGAGCGCTTATTCCTGTGTTCCAGTGTGTGAATAAGTGACCTTGTAGAGGGGACCATAAAGTAGAGACTGCCATCTAGGAGTCTATCCTTGCCATACTGGTTCCATGGGGGTTGGAGGTGCCAGTTTGTTCTTGATAAAACCACAGCTCTCATTAACCATGGTAAAATTACTTTTTGTAGCTAGAATCAATAAATCATTATCTCCTGGACAAAGTTAGAGCTGCCTCTTGAATAATTTTTTTTTTCTTCCTTCTGGTTTTTGCTTTTGAAAACCTGTACCTTAGCCCTGGCCAGTTAGTTCAGTTGGTTAGAGTGTTGTCCTGATATGCCAAGGTTGCGGGTTCGATCCCCCACCCCACCCCAGTCAGGGCACATAAAAGAATCAACCAACAAATGCATAAATAAGTGGAACAACAAATTGATGTTTCTTTCTCTCCCCCTCCCCTCCTAAAATCAGTACATAAATTTAAAAAAAGAAAGACTATATCTTGTCTAGTAGCTATTTCCTGCTGTCATCAATTAATTCTTTAGTTATTAGTGGGTGATGATGGACATGACTCAGACAAGGAAGGCCTTCTGGGTCAGTGGAAAGAGCAGAGGTCTGAAGGTCTAGAGATGGATTCCAGAGAAAGAAGCAGAAGAAAAATATAGTTTAAACGCCAGCTATGAGCATAGCACTTTATGGAGCATCTTTTTAAGTTTAACATCATTTATATCAGCTCTTGCGGTCCCCAGTAGCTCCCACCTCCTTCATCCTTATGTCCTTATCTTACAGGAGCAATGATGTCTGGGTCCTTGACCTGGAGCAGTGGGCGTGGTCCAAGCCAAACATCTCTGGCCCCAGTCCTCATCCTCGAGGTGGCCAATCTCAGGTGCTCAGGAATTAAAATAACTATTCAGCAAACACTGTAGCATCTTTCAGTTAGGACGGGAGAGGGAGGAGGGAGTCAGGTAAGATGCCAACATGCATAAGCCAAAAGAGAATTTGTCATTACTTTTGCTGGTATTTGCTTTTCAACTTCTAATGGGTTATATTTATTTTTAGTGGCTTTATATTATGCCTCTCCCCAAACCATTTACTTTGTTGTTTCATTTCTTAAGAAAACCCTGCATTTTATATGGTTGGCGCTCTCATGTTAATATTTGATCAACAAAGAATATTCATATTCAGATGAAACATCATTTTGTTCACAGGGATCAAAATTGACATGGGAGAATAGAGAGCTTACTATGGTAACTAGAAGTAAGACTCTCATTTAGGAGTTTGGTAGGCTATTTTCATGTATGACTGAAGCATAGGAGGTAAGATACCATGTCTTTATAGTTTTATTTTAAATTTCTTTCTGTCCCCAGATTGTCATAGATGATGCAACTATCTTAATCCTTGGAGGGTGTGGTGGGCCCAATGCTGTGAGTATTGCTGCTGTGGCATTCCCTTGCACATGCTGCTAAGTGTTCAAAACCTGCTTCTCCTGTCTCATCTCATAAGACTTTCTGTGGCATTTTCATTAAAGAGTACCTTTTCCCTTTGGGTGTATAATCTTTGTATTTTCTGGCTATTTTCCCTGTTTTCTTGTGGGGAGCGGGGGTTACTTTTAACCAGAAACAGTCAGACATTCATCTCTTGAATATTCATAGCTGTATTTTTTTTCCTACTCCCACTTCCTCTTTAGGCTATAAGGTTTGCTGCTATCATTTTTCTCAAGGAGGAATGGGATGTAAAAGCAGGTTGATAGCTGCCAGAATTTATGTGGAATTTATTTTAAGAATGCAGCTCTGACTGGTATGGTTCAGTGGGTTGGGCATTCATTGTCCTGCAAACTGAAAGGTCAACAGTTTTATTCCCAATCAGGGCACATGCCTGGGTTGCGGGTTCGGTCCTTGGTTGGGGATGGGCTAGAAGCAACAGGTTGATATTACTATCTTACATCGATGTTTCTTTCCCCCTCTTTCTCCCTCCCTTCTCCTTGCTTTAAAAATAAGTAAATGAAATATTAAACAAACAAACAAAAAGAATGGCCCTGGCTGGTGTAGCTCAGTTGGATTGAGTGCTGGCCTGTGAACCAAAGGGCTACCAGTTCAATTCCCAGTTGGGGCACATGCGAGGGTTGTGGACCAGGTCCCCAGCAGGGGGCATGCAAGAGGCGATCACGCATTGGTGTTTTTCTCCCTCTCTTTCTCCCTCCCTTCCCCTCTCTAAAAATAAATAAGTAAAATCTAAAAAAAAAAAAAAAAAAGAGTGGAAGTTCTGAAAGTTATGAAGATGTATTATCTACCTCCTTACCCCCCCCCACACACACACACAAAACCACAGGCAAAATTCAGAACCACTTAAAATTGATTCATGGGTCATAAGCACGATTTTTTTGTGCCCAGCCAATGATGATCTATGAATGAGCAAAGGCACAGATGAATAAATGACAAAGATTTTGCTATTCTTTCTGAAGAGCCCATACACTCTCTAGACCAGATGGCACAGCTTTGAGGTTCCAGGTCTGTGTATGCTTTGTAACAGGAACCACACCTGAGTCCTGTTGTTGGTCCTTCTCTTACAGCTGTTCAAGGATGCTTGGTTGTTGCACATGCACTCAGGTGCCTGGGCCTGGCAGCCACTCAAGGTAGAAAATGAAGATCATGGGGCTCCAGAACTGTGGTGCCATCCAGCTTGTCGGGTAAGCGGGGAACTGTCACACCAGCAGGAGATGATGTCCTGAACTGTAAAGCCAAGTGAACTTGCCAGATTTCCGGACAGATTTGTATGGAAAAGAAAAACATCTTGATGTCACAAAATAGGTAGACATTAACCGTAGCTCATAGGTTACATTACATTATGAATCACTAGAAGAGAAAACTTAGTGGGCCCCACTCATCCTTTAAGTCCCAGCTTTAAGCATCTCTTTGTCTCTAAATTTTTCTCCAGGATCCCCCAAACAAAAACTGACTCCTCCCTCCACTCTGTCCATATTCTGTAGACGTAATTCTAATGATAGCATGTCACGCTATAGCAACAAATTGTTTCCCTGTCTGTCTGCCCTTCTAACCTAGAAAGCAGACTATGTTATTTTCATCCCTTAGGTACCAGTAAAAAGCCTGGCATATCCCAGATGCTCGTGATAAAATGAGTGATACCTGAATGAATGATCATAACTGAGCACAAGTCTTTTGCCTTCCAGGTGGGGCAGTGTGTGGTGGTCTTCAGCCAGGCCCCCAGTGGGAGAGCCCCGCTCAGCCCCAGTTTGAACTCTCGCCCATCACCTATCAGTGCCACTCCTCCAGCCCTGGTTCCTGAAACCCGAGAGTACCGCTCACAGTCTCCAGTAAGGAGTATGGATGAAGCTCCTTGTGTTAACGGCCGCTGGGGAACACTGAGACCCAGAGCTCAAAGGCAGACCCCCTCAGGTTCCCGGGAAGGAAGTCTTTCCCCAGCCAGAGGAGATGGCTCTCCCATCCTCAATGGTGGGAGCTTATCTCCAGGAACAGCAGCCGTAGGTGGTTCTTCCTTGGACAGCCCTGTACAGGCCATATCTCCTAGCACTCCATCTACCACTGAAGGATATGACCTAAAAATGGGACTGACTTTGGCCCCTCGACGAGGGTCACTACCAGATCAGAAAGATCTGAGATTAGGATCAATAGATCTCAATTGGGATCTGAAACCCACTTCCAGTAGCAATCACATGGACGGCGTGGACAACAGGACAGTTGGGGGAAGTGTGAGACACCTTCCTGAACAGGCGAATGGTGTGCATACCCCACCACATGTGGCCAGTGCCCTGACAGGAGCTGTCTCCCCAGGTGCCCTGCGTCGGAGCCTAGAAGCCATCAAAGCAATGTCATCCAAAGGCCCCTCGGCCTCCGCAGCACTGAGTCCTCCTCTGGGATCTTCCCCAGGCTCCCCAGGGAATCAGAACCTGAGCAGTGGAGAAACGGTGCCCATTCCCCGGCCAGGGCCTGCCCAAGGAGACGGGCATTCCTTACCCCCTATTGCCCGCCGCCTAGGCCACCACCCTCCACAGTCCCTAAATGTTGGCAAACCCTTGTATCAGAGTATGAACTGCAAGCCCATGCAGATGTATGTGCTGGACATTAAAGACACCAAGGAGAAGGGGCGGGTCAAATGGAAAGTATTTAATAGCAGTTCTGTCGTGGGACCTCCTGAAACCAGCCTGCATACAGTGGTACAAGGCAGGGGTGAGCTCATCATATTTGGAGGACTCATGGACAAAAAACAGAATGTGAAGTACTATCCAAAAACAAACGCCTTGTACTTTGTGCGAGCAAAGAGATAATATGTTGTAAACCCCTTTCCCTTTCTGTGGCTTTTAATTTGGAATTTTCCAACGTGCAAGTGTTTGGACTGAAAATTAGGAAAACAAAGGACAAAATTACTCCCATAAACCAAAACTCCAGTTCCCAACCTCACTCTCTCCAGGCTGGGATCAAATCTCCATTAAGAAAAAAATTATATATAAATATATATTATTATAGCCAACTCTGTTTACAAAGAGGGAGAGATCTCTGTCCTGGTTCAGACAAAATTGTTGCTGTGTTTTAGCAGAGGCTGTGCTGCCTTTTTCTATTTTGCTTGTAACTAGACCAAGAATTTAGAGAACAGACTAATATCAGAACTTTCCTAAAGGAACTGAAGAGCCCCTGTAAATCTCTGTGTGGCCTCCTCAGAGTTAGAAACAGGAAGGACATGTGTCGGATGCACCAGTGGAGGTTTCAGACTCGCGTGCTTCAGGTGCTGGCAGGGTAAAAGTAACCTATAGAAAACTGTTCTTCCCCTTCTCTTAAACCCACAGAGGACCAGCGAAAGCCTCTCTTTGCAGTAATGCCCTATGCCTGGCCCATTCTGCCCTTTGTGACTGGGGGCAGTTATCCAACAAAGGGTTTTTTTACACATTTGTGTGCCAGGACCGTTGTGAAACTGTGTATGCAGTGACACCTGTCCACCTAGTGTCTTTTGGTCTTTTGAGTGCTCCCTCCATGTCTCAGAAAGCATTTTGGTGTCTGTGGAATTTCCTGACAGTCGTACTTGGTTACAAGTTGCCAAAAAAGATAAAAGATGTTGTTCTCCTTTTCCTTCCCTTAAAACTTGATCTTCAGAAGCTGCCTTTCTTTTTTACTTTTTGCATATTTAGATTTTTTTCAAGCTTTAAAACCTTGTTCTCACTTTTTGTTTCTTTTATAAAGCTCAAGTGCCCAGAGAGATCTCTTAGAAATATTTCTGAAACACTTTCTCTGGTGTCACTAAGGGGCCCGTAGGGAATTCCAAGATGCCAGTATCATGAGAGATCCTTGAAGCGTCATTTACTATTTTTTTCTTATGGGCTTCTTTTCACTTCCAAAGCACAGTGGACACCCATCTGTTTTGTAAAATGTGGAAATTGATCCTGGCAGAGGGAATCCCAATAATAGTTCCTTCTAGAAACTATTCTTGCCCTTGTTGTGACACGCATTTTTCTGCCTGACTATTAACCAGTGATTGGGTTGAGTGTCACCCAAAGAGGCTTGAGCTCTTTGACGCACGCCTGACCTTGGGAGCATCTCCTTCTTTGTGATTGTCTTGTTCATGTGTCGCCCAGACAAGGCTTGTGTTTTTACTGTCATGTCATTTCTGAGGTAAGATGCGACCAACTAGGACATTTCCTCAGTGGATGCAGGAAGTTACATGGTCTCTAAACCCATGGCCTGGACACATTGGAACCACTGAAATGTGGATTTTTGATGATTTCTCATCAATGGAAAGAGGATTTTTATTTTAAGATTTGAATTTCAAAACATTGCATATCCCTTCCCCACACTCCTCTTTCCTGTTAGCATTCCTCAAGCACAAGCCTGCTGGAGCTGGCCCTGGGCCCTGGCTTTCAGCCGGCGCTCTGCAGCCTGTCTGAGCGGTATGTTTTCTCCTGTCACATCATGTCGAATGCTTTCCCCTAGCCATTAGCTTTCACAGTGCAGTCTCGGTGGGAAGGGCAGGTCACGGGGAGGGGTGTGTGTTCCGGAGGCTGCTCTGTGTGCTCCCCTAGATGAGGGAACTACCACGTGCCTACTTACTATGGTGTCCCACTGCTCATAGCTCAACACAGCTTTCCAGACTCCCTGCTCTGGGGCTGCTGCCCGTTCTTTTTTGGCAAAGACTGTTAGATCATGCGGGGTCCTTACTCACGAGAGAAAGCTAGCCTGAAAGATCAGCAATTTTGGCATTACTGCTGTCGTTGAACCTTATTTATGAGATTGCATTTGTGCATGGGACAGTGCCTCCAAACTCAGTTCCTATTTAAAGTATTCGGAAGCCTGAAAGTGCAGAATCCCAACTTCGTAATCTTTCCTTTTGTCCTGTGGCCTTCCTAAGCCAGCTGTTAACTTGTTGATTCCTCTGCTTTCCCCAAGTAGGCAGGTAACGGAGATGATTCCTTAGAAGGTAGCCCGCTCCTCGGAACTCCCTGGCATCCCAGTATTACCCACACCACCTGGCACCGGACTGTCTGTTTACAGCTCCTTAAGAACAATCTGCCTCTTCTCCACCCAGCGGTGTTGGTCTTGGTGGCGCCGGGGCACTCTGTGCATGTACCTTGGGAGAGCGACTCAGCACAGTCAAAGCGATGGCCCCTCAGGCCCGAGAGGCCACGTGTGCAGCGGAACTTCGGGTGTCTCAGCTGAGGTGACCATTTCCACAACGCCTCGGATACTTCGGTCAGATCTGATTTAACCACGACTCTGGTTTTGACATGATGCCAATTTTGTCTTAAAACTCAGAAAAATGAGACAAAATATTTTTTTTAAACCCTCAGGAGCACCTATAGCAAATATTTATCAGTATTTAAGTATTTAAAGTACATTTTCTTTCTACTTGAAGCTTTAACCCCTTCCATTCCTGCAAGTGTGCCTTCGAGAGCCCCGTGTCATACTGACTCCCCGGCCCCCTTGCTGACCTCAAGTGAGAAGTTGAGTCTCTCCCCACCCTCTTGGACAGACTTCCTGTTTTCTCATTTTGCAATCTGGGCAGCAGAGAGGGTTCTGTATTTTTGTTCATGTTTTCACCCTTATTCTACATTTGGGTGGTGGGCTCCACAACCTCCACCCACTCCACATTTTGGGAGCACAAATTAGGTGTCAGAATAAACTTAACTTTAGTTGTAAGTCTCTACTGGGCTTATTCTCCTCCCCTCCCTCTGTGGATTGAATTGATTTTAATGTTTGAGTTTTAGATCAAGAGCTAAAATCTATGAACTATCCTAAGAACTGTGTTGGAACTCTTTTAAAATAAAAATTTAAAAAAAAAAGAAGAAGAAAGAACCAACTGAAGAAATCTTGACTTTGGAGGACAGAAAGCCACCAGCTGACAGAGAACAAAGGGATGCTTCCCTTCCCTTTCACTGTATCTTTCTGGATTTCCTTCTGCTTTGCTTCTTTCCTTCCCCTTTACAAGAGATACTCCTGGTTGGGTTGTCTGTCTGTCCTTGTCCGTGTGGTGATCCTGGCATGGTGATGTGATCTGCTTTGCATTATCTGTGGTCTCTAACCAGCGCACAAGTCAGTGGGGAGGATCTGGACACACCCAGGGGCAAGGAAGCTGAATTTTGAGGCCTGGGTCCTGTGCAGCCTCCCCACAAACTGCAGAAGGCATGTTCTGCATGGTCACCAGTAAGTGGCTCCCTCTCACCATGGTCATTGTCGAATGAGAGCAAATCTGAGGTTTTGCCTCCCATCTGTACTCTTCCCCCCTTGCTCTGCTCCCCTCCCACCAACCAGGGTTCTTGTCAGCGCACAGCCAGTGTGCCCTGGCGAAGCTGGTGCTGAGCGATGTTTCCCATAAAACTCAGGGGTCCTGGGTGGCCTACCCTGAGAGGATCATTTTAGGCACATACCTGCGTAGGAATGAAAAGTGGATATGATTTCATTGATATTTAAATCTGTCGATTTCATTTTTTGTTGTTTTCCCCTGATGACTTTTTAGCAATTTAACAAATAAAACAAAATAGAATCGTCTGAACTGTTTTATTGGTAGAAAAGCTGTGATGGAAAGCAATCGAGGCGGGAAATGGAAGTTGGAAGCAAAGCAGCTGGAAAGCTGTCTCTTCTTCGGGTGGGTTGTGTTCTGGGGGGAGGTGGAGAGTTGCTCTTCCCTGAGGACAGCGCCACTTAATGCCGAAGCAGCTCTCCCCATCGTGCTTGAAGGACTTGGTGTTTCAGAGCCTCAATACTCCCTGCACTGGAGACCAAAGAGAGATGATGAGCTTGGAGCAGAGACCCAGGGCCCCAGTGGACACCTACACCATCGCTGGGCTCCTCAGCAAAAACAACAGCACAAGGCTCCAGGGTCTTGAAACAGCATAGCAAGTGGGGCCTGGGAACACAGGCCTGAAGCCCTTAGTGGCCTGGGTTCTAATCCCTGCCTTCCTCTACTTGTGATTCGACCTTGGATACAAATTCCCTCATCCATGAATGTAATTGTTTCTCTTTTACGGGATCGTGAGTATTGATTTGATGTTGCATGTGAAAAGCACTAGCACAGTACCTGGCACATAGTAGGCACTCAAAAAATGGTGGCTCTTATTTATAATCAGCCCTTGAAGAAGATACAGGATCTTGAAGGAATGGGCAGGGCTCAGTGTGTAAATTGTTAGGAGCATGCCCATACTAAGGATTATGTGTGTCTGCAGTTGTCAGGGTCATCTTTTAGATGTCATGAGAACCTCAAAGGCTTTTGCCTCTCAAGAGCAGTAAGTAGCAGCTGCTGCCATAAATCAGGTCAGAATTGTCCTGTTGTTTAATCTCCCTCTTAGACTTTATTCTTTGGTTTGCCAATCAAGTCTGGCCTCTGGTACATTTCTTTGCCTGGATTCAAGGGCACATGTAGTTGGGTCTCAATCTGGAAGTATCAGTTGGGGGCCAATGACATGAGCCTACCCCACCTGTGTGGGGACCTAGGAGGAGCCAGGCACTAGAAGGGCAAGTGGCTAAGAGCCCTGAAGCAATTTGCTGAGTATGTGCCAGTGTCCTACACCCGTGGGTCTTTGTGCCAAGCCCTGTTACATTCTTTTCATTCAGTACATATGGAACATCAACCTTGTTCCAGGCTCAGTTTTTGTAGGCCCTGTTGTCCCAGCTGCCCAACGACACTTTGATTTTTTTTTTTTTTTTTTTTTTGAAGATACTTATTTTTAAGAGAGGGAAAGAAACAACTGGTTTCCTCTTACATGTGCCCCAACCAGGACTGGCCTGCAACCCAAACATGTGCCCTGACTAGGAAACGAACCGTCAACCTTTTGCTTTGTGGAACAATGCTAAATCAACTGAGCCACGTGGGTCAGGGCAAAACTTTGATTTCTAACAACATGTGGTCTGATACTGACCATGCCGTTCACTGTACTTTAAGGCGCACAGCAAACTATAGAGTGTGTGGAGTGTGGTGTGAAGAAGGGCCTTGGGTGCAAAGGGCCCAGCAATGTGTGCCGACAGCTGCTGTGTCGGCGGTGATGGGAGTGGAGCGATTGTTTTGAATGCTTCCACAGTTGCCCTTGTGAAAGGTTGGGCTGTACGAGGTCAAGTGGGTAGAAGCTCTAGGGAAGAGATTCCAGGGTCGCTGGGAAGAACTTTGTTACAGTCAGCTGTATGTAATGGGTGGAATTCAGGCGTTGCCTGGATCATCAAGTCTACGGGATATTCAGTGCATAAGGTGCCAGGGGTGATTGGTGGTCCCGGAAGGAAGGCAGATACCATTCCTGGGGAAGACCCCAGGTGCCCAGCCTCCAGGCAGGTCGGTCCTGTAAGGCGTCCTGCAGCATCCTGACTGTCCATGCCAGAGGCGATGATGAGCATGTTCCTGTGGTGAACAAGGTCACAACATGAAGACAGCCAAGTGATCGGCCCTGTGTCAGAGGACGTGTGGGAGCAGAGAAGAGGGAACTTGCTGAGTTGGGGAGAAACCTTAATGTTGAGGACAGAGCTCCAAGACTGTCAGTAACTCAACCAAGGCCTCAGAGGAGTTGGCAGCCACTGTGTCCCATGCAGGCCTAGCACAGCACTCGGTGGCCACGCCCATGGGGACCAAAGGGCCAGAGGCCTCTGCACATTTAGGTCTAAGTTACAGCGCCTAGCCAGGGAAAAAGACTGCCCTTTCTCCTCGGGTCTTTGCAGTTCTTCTCCAGCTGGCTCTTTGGGAAGGTAGTGCAGGAATCACTCAGGAGACCAAGGCCTTGCACGTATCACTACCCTGAGTAGCTCTTCAGCCCAAGACTCAGCCTCACATCACCCTAACCCAGCGAACCTGGGAGAGTCCAGGCTTTGGGCACCCTCAGGTCCAGGCAGGACAGGAGGCATTGCCTCCACATCCTGCAGGCTGGCCTGATGATCGTGCTGCTGCCTGTAACTGGGGTTTACCCTGGCTCTGCTGTGCCTTCCCACCTCCCCCAGGCACAGGGGAGGACCCCCAGCTGCAGTCTGCCTTCTGTTCCCTATGGCCATAATTGTCCCCTACCACCACTCTACAATGTGTGACAAAAGCAGTTCAGCATTCTTGTGGATTCTTTGTGAGGTAATGATTTCCCCATTGCTGGAAGTGTTCAAGCAGAGGGAAATAATTGCATGGGATTGGGTGACAGAGTGATTTATGCATCAGATCAAGAATGGAACCAAGGGAGTCCTACATGCCCTTGCAAACCTTGAGACATTCTGTGGCCTCTGAAAGGACTTCCTAGAGAGGATGCAGGGCAGGAACATAGGCATCGACTTTGGACCAGGAAAGACCTTGGTTCAAAACCTGGCCCTGTGATTTTGACTACCCCTCTAATTGTCAGTTTTGTCAACAAAATGGCAGTGATGCTGCCAGCCTCACAGGTTAGCAATTCAGCTGGAACCAGCAATCTTTGTTAATATAGGAAATGGGTGTGATTCCCCCAAAGACCACCTGGGGGCACACTGTGAAAGGCTTTGAGTCCTGGGTGCTCTGTCGGAGGCAGCCTTGAGAAGGAAACAACGTACTGGAGGAGAAAAAGGCTCATTCCCCCCCCCCCCCCCCCCCATCTCTGTTGGTAAAGCCTGGGTCGGACCCCTTCTCTGGCATCTGCCGTGCTTCCGAGCACCACTGCCAGGCTGGCTTGCCTGCCTGCCCTCTCTGCCCCAGCCCCCACCTGTGGGAAAGCCCGTGTTTTCCCCACGGGGCTGGGCTCTGGGCCCAGGCCCTGTCAGCATGCACAAAGCTAAGCTGATGTTTTAAGTAAATGTCTAAGAGGCTGGTAGAGTATGTCATACCCTCATCAGGGAACTGGTCTGCTTACCCCCTGCAGCAAAGGGGAGGGCTGAGGCCCAGGCCTTAGCAGACAGAAGTCTGGGAGGAAGAAGGAGGCTCCTGCCCCAGAGCCAAGGATCCTGGGCTGCCTCCCACCCTTAAGAAGATCAGGGGAGCCCAGGACGAGCCTGGGGATTATTCATTCTCAGCAGCTGTGCCCTGAGCAAGTACGGAGCCCTGGGGCACTGAGACATACAGTAGGTGCGGTGGGAAGCCACCAGAGGGTTTTACAAGCAGGAGGTGACACAAGAGGCTGTCCAGGTCAAGGACACAAACCTTGTTGCCAAGCCCAGAGCCCAGGCCTGGCACATTGCAGCCTCCAGAACTCCTTGGGCATGATCTAGCAGCTCCAAGCCCAAATCCTGTATTGAGTAATGGAATCTGGACATTTTAATCTGCCCCTCTACCCTACTGCCCTGTTTTCTTGTTTGTTTTGTCTTCTTTTTTTAAAGATTTTTAGAGAGAGGGGAGGGAGAGAAACATCGATGTGTGAGAGAAATATTGATAGGTTGCCCCTCGCACGTCCCCAACTGAGGATCTGGCCCACAACCCAGGCATGTGCCCTGACCAGGAATCAAACTGGCAACCTTTCGGTTCACAGGCTGGTGCTCAATCCACTGAGCCACACCAGCCAGGGCTGCCCTGCTTCTAAGCGTAGTTATCTAGTTCTTCGATTTTATTCCCACCAGAGTGTGGAATACCCAAGGGCAAGATCTGTATCTTTTTCACTGTTTCCTGCCAGTGTCTGGCTGGGCACAAGAAATGCTCATAAATATTCAACAAATACTGTCCTAGCCCACTCATGCCCAGAATGTTCACTCTGCTTCCTTACTGGTCCTTCCAGGCTCACGCTCCGCAGGCCTTTCTCCAAGCTGCAGCACTAGCCAGTTGTCAGTCAACACATTTTTATTAAGTTTTTACTGTATGGCAGCCATATTTTAGGTAGTAGGGATTATTATGGGCTGAATTATGCTCCTGGGAAAATTCATATGTTGAAGTCCTAACCCCCAGGACCTCAGTATGTGATCATACTCATCGATAGGGTCTTTAGTGAGGTGATTAAAGTAAAAGCAGGTCATTAGTGTGGGCTCTAAACCAACATGACTGCTGTCCTAAGAAGGAGAAGAAATCTGGATAGGGACTCGTAAGGAAAGGGGTGAAGACACCTGCGAGCCCCAGAGGCAGGCAGGCCTGGAGCGCATCCTCCCTCAGCCCTCAGACGGACTGACCCTACCAACACCTTGATCTCCAATTTCTAACTTCCAGAACTACAGGCATTTCTGTTGTTTAAGCCGCTCAGCTTGCGGTGCTTTGTTACCACAGCCCGAGGAAACTAATACAGGGGTGTAACTACAAAAAGCTGCGGCCCCTATCCTCCGGGAGCTTCTGTCCGAGGTGAGGGAGCCGGACCACCCATTTTAAAATGTTAGGGTCAAGGACAGGGTGGTGTGAGAGAGCAAGCCTGGGGCAAATCCTTGAGCGGTGGAGGGGAGACCTCCCTGTGCAGCGACATTCACCGGGGCCGGAGTCGGGAAGCAGCTGTCCCTGTACGGCACTGGGGGTGGCGCTGGAAACGGCAAGGCAGGGGCCCTAAAGGGCAGCAGAAAAGGGCCAGGAGAAGAGGGTGGCAGTTGAATCAAAGAGCAAGAGATCAGGGGCCAGTCACAGAAGGCCTCGAAGGCATGGCTTTTGGGTTTCATTCTGAGTGCAGTGACTATCTGAAGACTATAATTGTGGGTGTGGCACTGCTGGATTTACGTTGTAAGACCTCACTCTGGCCCCTGTGTGGCATCCCAGAGGGCAGGCAGGGAAACTCCGAAGGAAGCAGCTGCCCCGGGGCCAGGCAAGCGATGAAAACAAATCTGACCGTGTCCTTTCTCCACTGATGGCACACTCCGGACCCGGGCAGCCCCCCGCCCCCTGCCCCTGCTGTCCAGGGCCTCAGGCCTTTGTGGGAGTCTGCCCACCTGGGCCATCTACTTGAGGCTGGTGACTGTGTGGATTAAGTTCTCCTCTCAAGACCTTGTGGGGCCTCACCCAGGAGGTGTTCAATCAACGTGGGGGGAAGGCCATGAAGAAAAGAGTGGATTAATCAGAAGCTTCTACCCTAGAAGTACCTGTACATGGATGGTCACCTGCTTCACTTGAGGCCCTAAGAGGAGCAGCAACTTGCTTAAGGGGATATACTACTCAGTGGTCAAAGGGGCCCAGGGAGGGGAACTCACTAGATCAAGATGGGTCACAAGCACCCTTCTGCAACGCCGTTCTGGCCACCTTACTCCCAGATCCCAACTGCTGCCTGGCCTCCTGTCCCCAGCAGCGGAGTTTATCTAAATTAGGCTTACGGACCCTATTATGGACTGAATTGCGTGCATAGGGTCTATAAGCCTAATTTATGTATGTTAAAGCCCTAACCCCCAATGTGACTTATTTGGAGATAGAGCCTTCAAGGAGATACAACGTTAAATGAGGTAATAATTGTGGGGCCCTAATTCAGTATCATTGGTATCCTTATAAAAAGAGGAAGACACTAAGAGTGCACTCACAGGACCTCGCCAGGTAGCTCAGTTGTTTGGAGCATCATCCCGATGCACCAAGGTTGCAGGTTCAATCCCCAGTCAGGGCATGTACAAGAATCAACCAATAAATGCATGAATAGGTGGAACAACAAACTGATGTTTCTTTCCCTCTCTCTCTTCTTTCCTCTTTCTAAAATCAATAAATAAAATTTTTTAAAAAAGGAGTGCATGCACAGAGAAAAGGCCACACGAGGAAACAGTGAGAAGGCAGCCTCCTACAATCCAGAAGGAAAGGCCTCACCACAAACCAACCCTGCTGGCACCTTGATCTTGAATTCTAGCTGCCAGAACTGTGAGAAAATAAATCTCTGTTGTTTAGGCCACCCCGTCTCTGGCAACCTGTCACGGCAGCCCCAGCGGACTGATACAGAGCTTAGCTTCCTGGACTGCCTAGTGCTCTTGTCACAGGTGCAGGCTCACAGACCCATCTGATGCCCTGAAACAGAATCTTGGGAGGATGGAGCCCAAGAATCCATGTTTTCAACGGGCCCCTGGTGCCCCCCGAAGCTCCCGAGCGCAGTCAAGACTGATTCCTGAGGCTAACGCTCTGGCCGCCAGCTCCTCTGACCATCAGCCCCCATCTCTGTGCCTGGGAGGGCTTCGTATCTTCTCTGGCCTTCAGGTTAACTGGCAGGCTCATTCTGCCAAGCTGCTTCACTTCCTCACACTCCCCCTGAGTCCGCTCTGAGGCAAGCAAGCGCAGGGCTGGGTGTGAAGTCTGGAAACCCAGAGGTGAGTCAGATCTGAGCCCTGCCGCTGGGGCACGGCTGGTCCACGGAGGGACCACAGCTGTGAAGTACGCTGGCTCCGGGCAGATCCGGTGAGGGCCGCAGGAAGGGGAGCTGAGCCACCTGGGAGTGTGGGCAGGTTTCAAGCACAAAATCCTGCAGCAGCGGTTATTCATTTGTTGTATCTCTGTGTAGCTGCAGTGGCAGCAACTTGAGGGAAGTGCCCTGTCTTACACATCCTGGTCCCCTCCACCCCACTGGACATAATGGACCCCCACAATTGGTGGGATTGTGGTCCTCTGGCTGCTTCCAGCTTTATTAGGAACAGCCATCAAAGTTTTAAAAACAGAAGGCCCCATCTGGCAGAACAGATACACACTTCAGAGTCCAGAAACCCTGGGTTCTGCGTTGAGTTTTCCCACTGACCAGCTGTGCCGTGTAGCCCTAGACAATCATATTGTCTCTGAGCCTCTTCATCTGTGAAGGAAAAAAGGGATAATAGTATTTCCGACACAGGCTTTTTTATAGAAACAAGGCAACCTCTGTACAGCCCCCACTGCCTGGAACTCAGTTGGCCTTTAGTTAAAGTGAACTCATAGGTTATTCCTTACAGAACAGCGATTCCGCCCTACATGAAGGCACTGGAACAGGACACTGGTAAAAATCAAGTGTAATAGGCAACCTCTCAGTACTGACCTACCTGCATCCCATCCTGCTAACAGGCACTCACTGAGCACACACCTTCAGGTAGGAGGCCCAGCGCCCAGTGTTGGAACAGTGTAGATGGCTTCATGGCCTCAGTGCTGCAATGTCTGCTCCAGCAGGGCAGGGACTCCTTGTTGACCCATGTATTCCCAGCAGCTAGACAAGGCTGAGCACAGCGTAGGTGTTCAGTAATTAGTTGTTGAATGAACGGGATGAATCGGTCAATCAACAAATGACTGGCAAGTACAAGTGGGCCCCGGACTCAGTTTTTAAGACCTTGCTCTCTCGGAGCTGCTTTTCCCCCATCCGTGAAGGCAGAGGGGTGTAAGTCATCTCGACGTCCTGCCTAGCAGGACTGATAGAGCAGTAATAGTACTTACTGAGCATTGCTGTGGACAGGGCACTGTTGTAAAGAATCCTAGGAGGTAATAGTATTTCACCTCCACTTTATAGAAAAGGGAACCGGCACAGAGGCAGTGGACCCTCTCCGCCTGGAGAGGCGGGATTTGATTAAGTTTCGGAAGAAAGACTGGGGCTCCGACTAAGCAATAGAGGAGAAGAGGACCCCTGGTCGGAGGGGAAGGCCCTGTCCAAGCTGTCACTGCTCCGCGGTAGCTGCTGACCCACCGGAGACCACCCCCGCCCCAAACAAGGCAACCCAACCCCGCCCCCTGGCGTCGTCATGACAACACCTCCGCACATGCGCCTCCTGCTCCCGCGCCTGGCCGGGCAGCGCGCGCCGAAGCCGGTCGCAGGCCGGGCGGAAGGAGGCCCGGCGGGCTCGGCGGCGGGAGCGCGGAAAGAACTTTTAAAGGGACCTTCTCCATCCTAGCCTGTTCGCCCGCAGGGACTGCCGATGGTGAGGGCTGGGTGGCCCCGAGTGTCAGCATCGAGGAGGCAGAGGAGAAGCAGGGCCGTGTGACTTCTCCTGGAGGTGACAAGGGAAAGAAGAGCTGTGTAAATACCCTCAAGGCAATAAATGGGATGGCTGCCCCCTGGGGAGCAGTACGGGGGTAGGAGAGACTATGGAATAGTACCTTCTGGGTAATAAGAGGTAGACAGGAATGAGTGACCTCCCAGGACAGTGAAAGGGAGCGTGGACTCCCAAAATGCTAATCTGCATAATAAGAAGGGTGGGGCTCCAGACTTCTCCAGCATCCAAGGAGGGGGCGAGCCAGACGGCAGGTGAAGAAGGCTCACAGGTCCAGCTTGGGACAGTTACCCTTTCCCTTCTGCTCTCAGCATTCTGCCATCTCCCTACCCCATCGGGTGCCCAGCCATGGCCAGACCACCCGCCCCAGGCTCGGTGATTGTCCCAGACTGGCACGAAAGTGCCGAAGGCAAGGAGTACCTGGCCTGCATCCTGCGCAAGAACCGCCGGCGGGTGTTTGGTAAGTCTCCCCCAATCTCCCCTCCCCGAGCCTGTCACCTGCCATTCCTTAGGGAGAATGGTGTCACCTGTCGCTCCCTTGGGGGACCAGAGAAGCAGGGCAGTGAGGGCCTGCTCCACTGCATTCCCCAGCCTGGGGGACCCCTGGACTATCCCTGGGGCCCCCACCCCAAAATCTCCTAAGAGCTAATTCCATCACCAGTGCCAGGAACATGGAAACAAGTGAAATCCTGCCAAGATCTACTGTCACCAGAGAGGCTGTTGACTGAGCCCGCACCCGGGGCCAGGCCCTCTGCTGGGCACTTCACACAATAGACTCCCATTGCACCTTCTCCACAGCCCATCTTACAGACTTGTTGTGACTAGCGAGTAGACACAAGCCTCTTTCATATCCTGCTGGATGAAGCCAGCTCCCCCAGGCAGGGCCGCGTTGGCAGGCCAGCAGAAACCCTTGGCATCGGCTGTGAGAGTCCAGCTCTGACCAGGAGGGACAAAGCCCCCGAAGACTTAAAGCCGGATAATGAGAGGGCAACCAACAATTTAGGTCTTTGAGGTCCTATGCCTACAGACATATCACAATTTAGATTTTTCTTTAGCAAGTTTTAAAATGAAAACATTCATAAAGATCTTGATGCATTAACTCTAAGGAGTTTATAGTAATTGGGAATACTTTTGCTGATCGTTCTCTGCTAAGAATTTTGAAACGCCTTGCTTTTATGGGTGAGAGATCTAGAATGTTAATGACAAAGAAATCTAGAACATGCGATAATAATATCAATAAAAACTATCTCATGCATCCAACTTAAAAAAGTAATTTGCTGTTCCTTGGAGTGGGCCCTGGCCCTGCCCACAGAGCGCAAGTGTTCTCAGCAGAGCTGCTCATCCAGGGACACTGCTCGGGCCCCAGGCCCCAGGAATGAGTAGAGAGAACCACAGCTGGTTGGCAGTGAAAAGGCCCTTAGATGAAGTTGTGCCACCCAGAGTCTGATTGGGCAAGACTGGGTGGGACAACCTGACCCCACAGGGCTCCCTACTTGCCCCAGGGCTGCTCGAGCGACCGGTGCTGCCCCCAGCCGTGGCCATTGACACGGCCAGCTACAAGATCTTCGTGTCTGGGAAGAGTGGCGTGGGCAAGACGGCACTGGTGGCCAAGCTAGCTGGCCTGGAGGTGCCCGTGGTACACCACGAGACCATTGGTGAGTCCATCTTTGGAGGCCTCCTCAGGGTGGGGAAAAGACTGTCTCTGGACCACACGACCTGGGATGTGAACCAGCTCCGCTACTCTGCAGGCTTGGAAAGTCACTTCGATCCTCTCTGAGCCTATGTTGGCTCCTCCGTCCAACAGGGACGATAGTACCAATCCCATGGGATTGTTGGGAGGTTGGTGTTAGAGATACGGGCGGTAACATGCCTAGCATGGAGCTGGCACAATGTAGGCGCTCAGGAAACACTAATCTTTTCTTGTCTCCCCCCACCCCCTCGATGCTGATTGGCCATCACGTTGCAACGTCCTCCTGTATCCTGGGACTTTTGGGTCCCCTTGTCCATATGAGTGAAACTTCATTGTCAAGGCTGGGGCTAGGGCTGTATCTCCCTGGTAGACTGGAGGCTCCTCCAGGGCAGGTCGGTTTCCCTCATCAGACTGAGAACTCCCCCAGGTCAGAGACTTGGCCTTCCCCGTCAGACTTGGACTCCTGAGGGCAGGGATGTAGTCTTCCCGTCTTTTCCTAGCCCCCAGCCTCTCTCCGCCTCCGCCTCTCCCATGCTAAGTGGCTGGCCCTGGCCTCCCTAGGCATCCAGACCACCGTGGTGTTTTGGCCAGCCAAGCTGCAGGTCAGTGACCGTATCGTCATGTTCCGCTTTGAGTTCTGGGACTGCGGGGAGTCTGCGCTCAGAAAGTTCGATCACATGCTGCCGGTGAGCAGGCAGGCGGGCCCGGGTGGGTCCCGGAGGGGCTGGTTGTCTGAGGTGGGCCTCTGAGTCCAGCTGTCTGAGCCCAGCCTGCCCGGTTTGCAGGAGCCAGAATGGGGCATGAGTGGGCTGCGGGTGCTGCCCCCCGGGAGAGCTCTGAGCTGACATCGAGGACTGGGTCCCAGCCTGTGCTCTGCCCTGGGACCAGGCACTCACTGCTCTGGGCGTCAGTTTCCCAGTCTGTGAAAGGCGGGCTCTACAGCTGATGGGAGGGTTCTGGTCCCGTGGTTAGAGCCTTGAATCAGCCTCTCCATCCCTAGGCCTGCAAGGAGAAAACAGATGCTTTCCTCTTCCTCTTCTCTTTTACCGACCGTGCCTCCTTTGAAGACCTCCCTGGACAGCTGACCCGCATAGCAGGGGAGGCCCCTGGTGTCGTCAGGATGGTCATCGGCTCCAAGTATCCTTTGGTTGGCCCCTAGGACGGTCAGAGGCCACACTTGGCAAGACGTGGACCCTGCCTCTGTCCAGCCATGGGGCCCAACCCCACGGGCTTTACCTTAAAGGCTGGAGCTGGCCTCCCCCAGACCCTGGGTGCGGGACTCCGGGGAGGAGGGAGAAGCCTGGGTCTGAAGGCTGGGGGTGTTCTTGGGGGGGAGATCATTAGCAGAGATGCCTGACCAGGCTCCTTAATCCTCCTCCAGATTTGACCAGTACATGCACACGGACGTGCCTGAACGTGACCTCACCACCTTCCGCCAGGCCTGGGATCTGCCCCTCCTGCGGGTGAAGAGTGTGCCCGGGCGGCGGCTGGCAGATGGGCACACACTGGATGGGCGGGCGGGGCTGGCCGACGTTGCCCACGTGCTCAATAGCCTGGCGGAGCAGCTGTGGCACCAGGACCAGGTGGCAGCTGGCCTGCTCCCCAGCCCCCAAGAGAACACCCCCAGCTGACATGAGTGGGCACGTGTGACCCCTACTCCCAACCCTCAGGTGACACCCAGCAGGGGACAGGACCCACGACATAGGACCGGGACAGGGATATCGATCTCATCCTGAGGATTGGTCAGGGAGGATGGTGGCCTGTGAAGGCTGCCCCAGCAGCACTTTCTTTGCAGAATTCATGGCGGTGAGGTGGGGGCTTAACGCTCTGTGGAGCGGTGGTTTGAGGCCCTCTGCCCTCCCCCGTGGCCCTGGAGGTCGAGGCTCTGGAAACTGAGGAACCACATGGGCAGGGCCCGGAACTCAAGCATCTCCACCAGCTTCCTGCGATCCCCTCGCTTCTGTAGCACACAGGGGCGTGGCTGGGGAGGGGGGGTGTCTCAGTGGGGCCCTGGACCTCAAGTGACCAATTGAGAGCCCATGTTACAGGGTGGGGGAAAAAATAGGTTTACAGTTGTTTCTATGGAAAATAATACAATAATCAATAAATAATACTACAAGAATAAACTTTCGCATATTCACAACCATAAACCTTTCATCCCACTCTGCAGTTGAGGTAGTACCATCTGCTGTACCAGAAAACCCTGAAGTCTCAGTGGCCCAACTCTCTAGAAGTTTTTTTCTTGTTCATGTCTCAGCTCAGGTGGAGGGGAAGGTGGCCGTGGGGGTCTCTCCTCCACGCACACACTCAGAGACCCAGGCTCTGACATCTTCAACACATGGCTTCCCAATTTGCCCTGGGGCATCACCATCCAGTGAGCAGGGCACTGAGTGCGACTGAGCGGTCACCCACGAGGTTTCTGTGGACTTGGCCTAGGGTACTGTACCTCATTCCTGCACACATGGTCACATGAAGCTGCTGGGGAGGCTGGGAAATGTAGTCCATCTGTGTGTCCAGGAGGCAAGCCTCTGCTCTGCAGTGCCTTTCTTGATCATGAGGCTGTCACGCCACGCTTAGGACAGGGGCCTGCCAGCCTCGGGGGATCAGAAAGCAGCTTCACTGGACCAGGTGGCGGCCAGGGAGTGAGTTGGCCTGTTGGCATCTCTGCCCTGTGGGTAGCCAGCAAGGACAGGAACAAGAAGGTGAGTGAACTTACTCATTTTTGTGTCTCACTTTTGTCCCACCAGCCAGAGACACTGGTGAATGCAGGCTTCTCACGAGAAGTGAGGCTCTTCCCCCTCGTGAGAAGTCAGCACTGGCAGCTCTGCATACCCACACTCACACACGTGACCATGTGTGCACACACCCGCCAGCACTGACCTAAAATGCTCTCCCCTCCTGGCACACACAGGAGGCTCATACATGCCCCCTCCCCGCACCGCCCCTGCTCACACTCCGGAGCACACTGATTGCCTGCGTGGCACTTGCCACGTCTGTCTACCTTGGACGCTGCCTGTATGCTTGTCAGCCCTTCCAGGACCTAAAGGACTGATCAGCATCTTCTTACCACCACCTCGGTTCACAGCTGAGGTTTGATCTTACCTTAGAAAAGGAACGTCCCGGGGCAGGACCCACGGCTCACAACGGCACAGCCTGTAGACCCCAGACCTTCCCACGGCGGCCGCCAGCTCTGCTCCCAGGCAGCGGCCTTCAGCCTGGTCCCCTCTGTTCCTAGCTCCCGTTGACCTTACCCCACCAGGGCAGCAGCAAACTGTGGGAGGGGGACCCGGTGGAGGTAGTCCCTGGGCCTGACTATCACCCTCCAGCTACAGGTACCAGCTATTCCACATCCCAGCCAGTTATCGCTGGGCTTAAAACTCCCCCAGAAAGGAAGCTTCCGAATCCTCCTTCAGTACCAGCTCCGCTAAGACCCATAAGGTTGCTCTGCGAAATAACCCAGGTCCCCCCACGACAGGGCAGGCCCGTCTTACCCTGGGAGCCCTGCTCCAGTCAGAGAATCGCCCGTCACCCGCCGTCACTCCGAACCGTCGGTGAACGGCTCCCTTCACCATCTCCTCGGGAAAGAACAAACCAGGGAGGACAATGGGCCTGGGATTTGGAGTCCGGCCACCGGCCTTCCCAGTTTGGTCACCATGGCATATCCAGTATCTGCTGCACAGCAGTATGCTGTCAGTTAGTAGTCACTGAATAAACTTATGTGTTGTTTACTCATCCATCCACCCACCCTTCCATCCTCATGTCCACTGTCCATGCTTTCGTCTGCCCCCCCGCCTGGCCGTTGTCCATCCGTCCACCCATCTGCCCATACACCTCCATGTGTGCACTCGTTTATAGAGATTTGCCGGTTGTTTTCCTGTCTAGTTTACTCACCCATCCATCAGTCTGTCCAGGCCTCTCCCACATGTGCATTCATTTGGTTTTAACCTCTCTGTCTGCCCGCCCCTCTTTGCGTCCATCCGTCCATCCATCCATCCCACCCATCCACAGGTTCCTAGCCAGGCCCTGAGGGGAAGGCCGCACAGAAACAGCAATGAATCACCCCTCATTCCCGTATTCCCAGAGCTCTCTGTGCGGGCAGGGCAAGGGGGGAGCCTTCCCCCACCCCAGGGCCATGACACCCCGCTTCTTGGGCCCTGGGATAAACATTTGCCATCCCTCTGACAGGAGTGCTCCAATCCGAGTTTGCTGTCCCAGCCCCGCAGATGGCCCAGAGCCCGGTGACAGGCCTGAAGGACCCCTACGTCCTGCCCCACACCTGCCTCTGTGGCCCACTCACTGGCTCTGCAGCCATTCTCATCATAATGACGCGGCTTTGGTGTTGACCTTGAAGCTGGACCTTGATTTCTTTGGGCTTCAGTTTTCTCAGCCAGAACATACCAGCTCCTCACAGGGCAAGTGTGAAACTCCTGCACTCATTTATTTCCCCCTCCCTGGGGGGCTCAGGTCTGTCACCCCCACTTCCTCGTGCTGCAGTTTGGGTCATTGTCATCTCTGTGGCAACCTTTTGCTGAGCACCCTGGACTGGATGCTGGGCACACAGAAGTTAACCAGAACTTTTCATTCCCTCAGGGAGCTTCCAGTTTTTAATGAACCCTGGTTAGGTCCTAAAGGGCTACGCTCCCCAGAAGTGGTGTTACTGAGTAATTGCCCTTGTCATTTGGTGGGAATGAGAGGGAGAATCATCAAAAGAACTTGTCCCCGGAAGTGTGACACCCTCATTCCCGGGCCTTCCTTGGCTTCTCATGGGTTGAGCAATAGATACGGGCCCTGGTCCCACAGGCCCTTGGGAACACAGCCCTCTGCGGCTAGTGGGGAGGGGGCAAGGCCTCCCAGCAGCCCTGTCACCAGCCTTAGCTCTCAGTGGATGGGAGGCCAGAGGATCAGGGGCGTAGTGGGCAGAGGGGTCAGCCTCAGCATGGAGTTTAGCGGCGGCCTGGCTCCACAGCAGGAGGGCACGTGCGCACAGGTGTGTGGGACACCTTGGTTGATAAGGCAAGCCGCTCAGCATGCACCATGAGCACATGAGTACCCCCCAGGGGGCCGGCTCTCCGGAGATGGTGAGGGTTGTCCCACGCTCAGGTCTGGCAGGGGCAGGATCCCCTGCGGGGCCTCCAAAGAGCAGGGGGACAGCTCCATGCTCTGACAGGGAGGTTAGGCCGCCCTATACAGTCTCTAAGCCTGGAGGAAGGTGTCCCGTGTCTGCCACCCAGAGTGTGGCCCCAGCAGCTGCCTCCTCGAGCTCACTTAGCATCTCTTTATCATCACGGTGGGCAAACAGCTGGCCGGTAACATGGAGGAGTTCCTCATGCCACGAGTACAGGAGGGGTAGGGGCACAGGGTTGAGCCTAGTCAGGAGGGCTTCTATGAGAATGAAGCAGAAGCCCCCGGACTGGAGGTCAGGAGATGGGGACGCAAGCTGGTTCTGCCTCCTGTAAGCTCTGTCTTTGCTTGTCTATAAGCCTGTTTTCTTTCTTGTACAATGGGGACAATAATACCCCTGTGGAAGTGCGTTTGGACTGGGGGGGGACAGCTTCAACGCTAGCGCCTGCATCTCCAGCCTACCTTGCCCAGAGCAACCACGTGCCCAGCAGGTGGGATATCCCCGGGGCGCGGGGGGGCCGGGGATGGCGGGGGGGACCGGGCACGGAGGGGGCCGGACCTTTCTAGAAGGGGAGGGGTACTGAGCCTTTGGAAGGGGTGGGGCGGGGCCGAGCTGGGAAGGCCGGAAGCTGGGTCTGGAGGCGCAGGGCCAGGCTCTAGCGGGAGGGGCGGGAGTGCAAGGAGTGGAATCGAGATCCCCGCAGGACCCGGCGCGCTCCACAGCCCAGGTACAAGCAAGGCCTTTCGCGCAGGGGAACCTCACTCTCTTCTACTGGAAGCTGTTGGCTGTGCGTCTGGGCTTCACCATCGCTTTCGAGGTAGGCTCAAGTTCAGGCTCTGCCGCCTACTGATTGTAAATGGGGATATATTACAAAATAGGGTCTATTTCATAGTATCGTTACGAAGATTCAATGTCCAGCACTTGCACAGTGCCTAGCACGTCATAGGTGCTCGGTGATTTAGTATCACTAGTACAACTACTATTACCTTGGCAACGGAGTTGGAGGAAGAGAGGAAGCATGTTCGCTCCAGCTTTGCTCAAGATTCCTGTTTTCCAGCCGTGCCTCTAACAGGGTCCCAGTGTTAAGGGGTTCTAATTATATCTCTGTGATTTGGGCAAATGACAACTTGTTTATGCTTCGGTGTCTTCACTTGTAAAACAAGAGTAGTAGTTGTATTTACCTCCTAGAGTCATGAGGATTAAATGAATTAATTAATACCCGGAAAACCCTCAGAATAGTGCCTTGCATTTAGTAAGCGCTCTATAAATTAAGATTGCTAAGGCAATCATTCTCTCTTTGGTCACCTTTCTCCCCAGCACGTGGTATTCTTCTTCCTGCACTTCATTGCTTGGCTCGTGCCCAACGTGCCAGCTAGCATCCTGGCTACCAAGATACAGCGCTACCCCTACCTGGCTAAGCAGGCGCTCGCGGACTACCGCGGGGCGCCGCCGTCTGTCAGTGAGCCTGCGGACCCTGGCCCCACCCCTCTGGCCACGCCCCCTGCCCGC